TGTTGATGCTCTGGAGATTGCGTTCTCCCGAAGCCTCCAGCAAAGGTTCCAACTCCATCATCTTCTCATATTTTGTATCGTTTTCCTCCTGCGCTGGGACACTATTCGTCGGCTTCCCGATGGCAGTTTGTCACTCGAAGTCACTTGTGTTTTCGCCTTCTAAACTCAAGAGTTCTTCTCCCCGGATTTCACTCGTGTCATCTCTTTGTTCCCTTGGCACCGTTCCCAGGATCTTCCTCAACAGCTTATGTGAATGATGCGACATTCGAGCCAGTCGTACGCACTTGGGTACCGAGAAGACCTTGTCTACCAGTATCCTTTGGCTGGATACCTCCACCATCGCCATGTGCCATGCATAGTGGCTCCCACATATGTTGGCCATTACTGATCCCACCAGGGATTTTGCATTTACTGGCAGACCGTAAGCCTCGCTCACGGGAAATCCCATTTCTGCCTCAAGGCCAATCTTCCACCCTCTGATGTGTTTCTGGGTGGTTTGCAACGCCCCCGGCCACGACGCCACGCTCAACGCAGTCACCAAATGGTGCTCAGACTCCAGCATCTCAAGTGATTGCAGACTACACATTCTTGAGAAGAACACCAGCGCCGTTGTTATATTCACTGTAGTGTTCGTATAGCACTCAGCCACTATCTGCACCTCGCTCTTCTCCCTTTCTGTTATGTCGCCAAACCAAGCGACTAGGTCTTCTCTCTGGAAAGATTGTATTCTGACACATGATCGTCCATCACAAGTGTGCTCTCCGCCTCCGCATGTCAAGTCAAGACAGCTGCCAGGTTCCAATTTTTTTTACTGATCCTAGCTTACTCATTGTTTCGCCCGATTCTTTACTCTGTGGTAGGACCAGTTTGTGTATCACATCCAAAGTTCCCAAGTCTTCATCTTTCGTTGGTGTTAGCCTGACGCGTTCCATGACATCGTTCCACTACCAAGCTTGCGTGAGGAGGGTCTCAGTAATTTCCAAACCGTTCCGGTTATTACCACAAATACCACCTGTGAAGGTATCCTCAATAACTACAAACGATATCAAAATTGTTGAAAAATTCATGAGAAGTAGAGCTCAATTTTGATTGGCTGACAATAAATTTGTTGAACATTCCTTGACTATTGAAGCTCCATTCTGATCGGTTGATATTAAATTTGTTGAAAATTCCATGACTATTGAAGCTCGATTCTGATTGGTTGTTATAAGAAAAGATAAAAATTTCCTTATAATTAATGCTCGATTCTGATTGGTTGATACTTTTGATAACTCCCTGGTTAGATTGGATGATTTTTATTTCAGCTAGGCTAAATAGCATATCCATTCTGATTTTATTTCACGTTAAAAACAATTGGTTGATAAGTTTGCTGTTTTTTTCACTTTTATTCATTTTTTGAGGCTATTCAACTCTTCATATCTAAAAACTTGGTACATTTTAAATCTCCCATTTAATCTTTTTTTACTTATTGAGACTTATTGAATATGCACTGGAACCGAGAGCAGGCAGCTTTTTACAATAGAGAATCTTTCTGGCAATACAGATTGCGAACGCCGCTTGCGTACTCGGAACAATAAATGACGAAATAATTTTCGACTAAATTTTTTCTTTGGAACACTTATATATTATATTTTCTCGTGTCGAGTTGCGTGTGTTATTGAAGAAACGTAATCATTATCGATTTTTATTGTAAGGACATCAACACTTGTCATCTTCTTTTATCATTTTCACTTCCATGTCTAGAAAATTGCAAGGATTTTGACTGGAATACGTGATGAAGGGACTCCGGACTGTAACCTCGGTTACTATGATACTTTTGACCTTCTGCTTGTCTTCAAATTTGTTTAAATCGCCAGAGAATGCTTTTCAGTTCATGTAGGGGCTACTCTTGAAGTTGTCACTGGAATATCTGCTTGGTGAATTATTAGTGCCGTCGTGCCATATAATTATCTTCCTAGTTCTTTCAAGTCTATCGTTTATCAGTAGGTTCTGAAGGAGTTTCAGGAAGATCAGGCAGGAACTGAGAATTTTCGTCCTAGTAACTCTTGCTTGTCGTAATATGGAATAGATTTGATTGCGCTGTCCAGTGAGCTTGCTCCGACAACACATGAGAGGATGATGGAATAGGAACCTTTGCTGGAGGCTTCGGGAGAACGCAATCTCCGGAGCATCGACATTACACATGGGGAATGCCCATGCCATTGGAAAATGAGCGCTCAAATGCCATGGGGAATGAGCACTCAAACCTCTGTTTAGTGTGGGACGTGGAAGAAATTCGATCAATCGGATTACCCGATCATCGGCAGAAGGTGACCATCTTGGTAGTAAGCACGATGTTGGCGTTGCGATTGATCGAGGAGAATGCGACGAAAGATCGGGAGTCGAAAACACTAACGGCGGAATCGATAATTTGCGAGATTTCCTATCTTAATAAGTTTTCGACTCCCGATCTTTCGTCGCATTCTCCTCGATCCATCGCAACGCCAACATCGTGCTCACTACCAAGATGGTCACCTTCTGCCGATGATCGGGTAATCCGATTGCTCGAATTTCTTCCACGTCCCACACTGAACAGAGGTTTGAGTGCTCATTCCCCATGGCATATGAGTGCTCATTCCCCAATGGCATGGGCATTCCCCATGTGTAATGTCGATGCTCCGGAGATTGCGTTCTCCCGAAGCCTCCAGCAAAGGTTCCAACTCCATCATCTTCTCATATTTTGTATCGTTTTCCTCCTGCGCTGGGACACTATTCGTCGGCTTCCCGATGGCAGTTTGTCACTCGAAGTCACTTGTGTTTTCGCCTTCTAAACTCAAGAGTTCTTCTCCCCGGATTTCACTCGTGTCATCTCTTTGTTCCCTTGGCACCGTTCCCAGGATCTTCCTCAACAGCTTATGTGAATGATGCGACATTCGAGCCAGTCGTACGCACTTGGGTACCGAGAAGGCCTTGTCTACCAGTATCCTTTGGCTGGATACCTCCACCATCGCCATGTGCCATGCATAGTGGCTCCCACATATGTTGGCCATTACTGATCCCACCAGGGATTTTGCATTTACTGGCAGACCGTAAGCCTCGCTCACGGGAAATCCCATTTCTGCCTCAAGGCCAATCTTCCACCCTCTGATGTGTTTCTGGGTGGTTTGCAACGCCCCCGGCCACGACGCCACGCTCAACGCAGTCACCAAATGGTGCTCAGACTCCAGCATCTCAAGTGATTGCAGACTACACATTCTTGAGAAGAACACCAGCGCCGTTGTTATATTCACTGTAGTGTTCGTATAGCACTCAGCCACTATCTGCACCTCGCTCTTCTCTCTTTCTGTTATGTCGCCAAACCAAGCGACTAGGTCTTCTCTCTGGAAAGATTGTATTCTGACACATGATCGTCCATCACAAGTGTGCTCTCCGCCTCCGCATGTCAAGTCAAGACAGCTGCCAGGTTCCAATTTTTTTTACTGATCCTAGCTTACTCATTGTTTCGCCCGATTCTTTACTCTGTGGTAGGACCAGTTTGTGTATCACATCCAAAGTTCCCAAGTCTTCATCTTTCGTTGGTGTTAGCCTGACGCGTTCCATGACATCGTTCCACTACCAAGCTTGCGTGAGGAGGGTCTCAGTAATTTCCAAACCGTTCCGGTTATTACCACAAATACCACCTGTGAAGGTATCCTCAATAACTACAAACGATATCAAAATTGTTGAAAAATTCATGAGAAGTAGAGCTCAATTTTGATTGGCTGACAATAAATTTGTTGAACATTCCTTGACTATTGAAGCTCCATTCTGATCGGTTGATATTAAATTTGTTGAAAATTCCATGACTATTGAAGCTCGATTCTGATTGGTTGTTATAAGAAAAGATAAAAATTTCCTTATAATTAATGCTCGATTCTGATTGGTTGATACTTTTGATAACTCCCTGGTTAGATTGGATGATTTTTATTTCAGCTAGGCTAAATAGCATATCCATTCTGATTTTATTTCACGTTAAAAACAATTGGTTGATAAGTTTGCTGTTTTTTTCACTTTTATTCATTTTTTGAGGCTATTCAACTCTTCATATCTAAAAACTTGGTACATTTTAAATCTCCCATTTAATCTTTTTTTACTTATTGAGACTTATTGAATATGCACTGGAACCGAGAGCAGGCAGCTTTTTACAATAGAGAATCTTTCTGGCAATACAGATTGCGAACGCCGCTTGCGTACTCGGAACAATAAATGACGAAATAATTTTCGACTAAATTTTTTCTTTGGAACACTTATATATTATATTTTCTCGTGTCGAGTTGCGTGTGTTATTGAAGAAACGTAATCATTATCGATTTTTATTGTAAGGACATCAACACTTGTCATCTTCTTTTATCATTTTCACTTCCATGTCTAGAAAATTGCAAGGATTTTGACTGGAATACGTGATGAAGGGACTCCGGACTGTAACCTCGGTTACTATGATACTTTTGACCTTCTGCTTGTCTTCAAATTTGTTTAAATCGCCAGAGAATGCTTTTCAGTTCATGTAGGGGCTACTCTTGAAGTTTTCACTGGAATATCTGCTTGGTGAATTATTAGTGCCGTCGTGCCATATAATTATCTTCCTAGTTCTTTCAAGTCTATCGTTTATCAGTAGGTTCTGAAGGAGTTTCAGGAAGATCAGGCAGGAACTGAGAATTTTCGTCCTAGTAACTCTTGCTTGTCGTAATATGGAATAGATTTGATTGCGCTGTCCAGTGAGCTTGCTCCGATAAAGAATATCATAAATGCCGGCCTCTGAAATCCCTTCTTAAAAAGGGCCATCTAATCCAATTTATCCGGGCTTTCAATCTGTTCACTATTTAATAAGTTTGTAAGTGTAAAATTCGGATTTGTGTAAAATTCGAAGCACCGGAGGTGTGTTGCACGCTAGTTTTGTTTTAACGAAGTTCATATATTTCAAGCATCTCAAGTTTTTCAAATATAAACTTTTTTCACCTTAACGATTGTAATGTTTTTAGGGGTCAGATGAACGAAAAGGGATTGGAAATTTTGCGTGGAATAAAAGAATGCGTTGATTTTGTACGAGGAAATAGCAGTTCACGGGAAGTTCAGGAGGATAACATTGGAATTGTTTTGCTTCTGATCAGAGTCGAAGATTTAACTAGACGTGGCCTCCGTCAAAAGAAGAATACTGATTATTTCGATTTTTTTGCTTCATGTCTTCGAAAAGATCTTGATTTCGGATCGCTTTTCAAAAAGTTTGAATTGATCCAAGAGTTGAAAACAAGTATAGGAAAAGGAAGAGCTCTTCTGAGGCACGTTCTGTCATTGAATTTACTTACATCTTTCTTTAGAGTATGTCTCGATTCAAAAACAAGCGCATCTTGGTATGCACCCCAAGCTTATTTCCGCGATAAAGACTTCATCGATAAATTTTTATCAGTCATTTGTGAAATTGATGCATATAAATTCAATTTTGAAATTCGCTTGAAAGAAATTGACTTTTCTTGGCCATTTGAAGATTTGCTCTACCGAGCCAATGGCAAGTACTATCTTTACCCTGAAAAGGTTAACGAATTTCGTAGTCAGTCGGTTTTCAACGAAGTTGAAAATTATAAAGCAGTCAATGAATCTCTCAATAGCGAAGTGCCTGTAAATCAAAATTTGCAGCTTGAAATTCAGATGTCCAAAATGCAGCTCAATTGCGAGCGCCTCGAGCTAGAGTTAGCGAAAAAAGACGAAGAACTTCAAAAGACTAAAGATGAAATGGATTATCTGCGGCAATTGACCTTGCTGTTGAGATCATCGCCCGATGGTGCTAATAATACGAGTCAGTCCTCATTAGAATTCGCCGGGACGCTCGATACTTCATCGGCTAGTGAGAAAGCTTCGTTGAAAGTCAACGATGGCAGTGGAAATACATGGCTCGATGAAATGATGGAACAGCAGAAACGGTTGAACGATGAAGTTGCTTCACATGCGTTGTTGAAACAGGCTATGGATCTAAAACAGTCTGAACTTGAGCAACAAATTCATCAATTGAAAGAGGAATTGAGCTCTATTAAAGCAATACGAAGTCCACCAACAGATACAAAAAGCTGCCAAAGTGAAGCTGTGCACCAAGTTGACCGCGAAACTGAAGCTTGTGATTTGCTAAATGAGTCTTTAATGTCAAATAATGAAAAGGAACAAAGCTGTAACACATCGTTTGGACCACTGACATGGTCGAATGGCGGAGAAACAACGGGAACTCTTAGTTTAACTGAAGAGCTTGAAAAGTTAGCAAAGAAATATGCGGAGGCCAGAAGCCAAATAGCTGAATTACAAGAACTGAACGAGCATTTTGAGTCATCCGAGAATGGCAAAGTGGGAGCTCAGAAAGAAAAATTCAAAACAATGAAATCTGAAAACGATGAAATCAAAAATCGTTTTTTATTAGTCGAAAAAGAATTGAGAGAAAAAGAACTTAGCTACAAGTCTATGCTTGTGGAAAATGAGAAAATGAACCAAGAAGTTCAAAAAATACACAACAGTTTAAAACTACGCGATGAAGACATATCAAAACTTCAAGAAGAAAAATCTGATCTCATTCGAGAAAATGAGATCTTACAGACAAATTTGGATAGTTCTACTACAGATCTTAAAGCATTGAGAGCAAAGCTTATTGCTCTGGAAACCCAATTATCTGAAATTGAACTGAAGTTCAAAAGTCAATCGACCGAGAATTCAAAACTTTCGGATGTTTGCACCGACGTGCAGGAGGATAATATGAAGCTAAGAAGTGAAGTGAGCGAGCTAAGAGATAAGCTTGATTGCACAGTGGCGTCTTCACGGAGCCAAGTAACAGCCATTTCGACAGAGAGGGACTCAATCCATAATCTGTATATGGATGCTAAGCGACAACTAATTTTCAACGTTAGTACTGTTTTTCTGTTTGTTGTGCTCTGGTAACCGAGATTCTGTAAAACTGTAGCAACCGAGTTTCCGATTTTTTTTGACACACTCCTTGCTCATCGTATCAAGATTATCGCATCAATTAGAATACATAATTCTGCACTGGGTCGCTAGTCTTGGAATTTGAATGCCGAAATAAATCTGTTGTTAAAAGCCGATATATATCTGTTGAAATGCAGTAAGTTTGGGATTTTTAGACCCCCAGGATTTTAAAAAGTACAAATATGTTCGAAAGAAATTGAGCGTGTCATAGTTTGAGTCATTTATTTTTTTCATAAATTTTAACAGCACCCGGGGTTTGTTCGTCCTTGGCCTGTTGAGCCTAGGAGCGCTGAATCTTCAACAGAGCTTGAATTTTGTTCGAAGTCGACTTGAATGCCTGTCAACTGGAAGCGATAGTATTATTGACAGAAAGTCGTTATTTAATCTTTTTGTATTTCAGGATAGACTTCACCAGCAAGCTTTGAACGAGAAACAGGAGCAAATTGAAATGTTCACCAGAAAACTGTTGTCACTTACGAAAGAAAAAGACGTGATGTGGCAGCAGCTTGATAGGGTCCAAGAAATCAGCCAGTCCACGCTAATCGGAGGATGGGTGAATGAAAACGACGTGAAACAATGTGCCTTGTGCCAAATAACGTTCACTCTGTTTGTCAGGAAGCATCATTGCAGAAGCTGTGGTAACGTTTTTTGCGTGGCATGTTCGAACCATTTCATATCAGTTGCACATTCCAATAGAAAGGAGAGAGTTTGTACGACTTGCTCTAATAACAGAAAAGACGCGAGGATTTTGTTGAGCCAGCAGAAGTTGGATTCGCCAAATTTGGACGCGATGGAAGAACAGAAGTTCAATAAACAAGTCAAAGTTGGTGACATTCTTTTTAAGGCATTAATAAGAAAATCAAAGAGGTTGAAAATTAAAGTGATAGAGGTAGTTTGATTGTAAGTGAAAAAAATTAGCGGTTGGTATTATATGATTGAATTTATGATTTTTCTAAACGAGCCAGAATAGATATTTCTGGCTCCTTTTATTATGCTGAACATAAAAAGGTATAATTTTAGCTATCGAAAGAGAAGTTCATAACCGGCGGACGATTTGCAAACAGTGTCAACTCTTTAGTGGGACTTGATACAAGCTACCATTCTTCGCCTCCGGGATCTATAGGCAGTCTTCAGATCAGAAGTATGCACAAATCAGCAACAATGATGCCAGGACTCACACCTAACATGTCAGGCAGTGCAAGTATGTTAGATGGAAATCAATATGGATCATTCATTGAAAGCGCAAGTCGTCCCGAGACACCTGAAAGAGATACTTTATACAATGACCGGTCAAAATCGGTGCCTGGATTGGAAATGCCCTCATCGGACCTTCAGAACTTGGTGAATGCGCCCTTGGAAAATACTGTGTATGGTCCATGTGAGAAGCAAGGGCAAGTTGTCTTAGCGCCTGGTCAAAATCGAGGCGTTCCACTTCAAGTGGATTGTTCCGGCTCTACGATTTCATGGACTTTTTCATCTGTTCCAAAATGTATCCAGTTTGCGTTGCTGTTTCGCGAAAACTCGCATGTGCAGTCTGACGGATCCTGGCAAAGCCCGGATTCAGATGACAATGCAAACAGTGTCTTCTCAGATAACGGTGCTAACTCATATCAGAGATCTGCTCTAAAGAAGTCATCTCTTCACGTGATCATTCCTTTGCTCACGTGCCGGTCACATCAGGAACCGGTCAATGGAGAGATCCTTGTAAAAACCCCGGGAACGTATATCATCTATTTTGACAATTCCAGGAGCAAATATACGGCGAAAAAAGTTGAATATTATGTGTGCATAAACTAAATCTCAATTGCCAAATTACTCATTTCAAAATAACTATTGACATTATTTCACTGAAATTCATCGGCTGCAGTATCTGAATTGTTTTCGTGTAAATTAGAAAATATTTTAAATTATTTGCTTAAGTTAAATCTTTATCTGCCATAGTTTCTATATTTCCAGTCTTCTCTCTCTTCACAATACAGTTTCACAATTAAAATTGAACCTAAATGTTTCTTCAAAAATATATATATATATATATATATATATATATATATATATATATATATACGTATCGTATAATTTGAAAAACTGAAATTGTGGCCTGAATCATCTATTTTGCCTGCGCTAGTTTGTCTGGGTCTTTCCGATTGTCGTACTAATATCTATAAGTAGTGTCAAGGCGCGAAATCAAATTTCATTCATATTAAGTTGAAATTGAGTTGTTTAAGTCTGATATTGTTTTCACAAATGTTGGAGGATTACATGAAATGCTGATATATTTTGTGTAAATAGGAAAAAAAATGTTTTAGATACCGTAATGAGCGATGCTAAAGATGTCGTTAAAAAGAAAAAGGTCAAGCTTCATATCGCGAAAGAGCAAAAAAGACCATTGAAACCTCGACCTGTGGATAAATTGATCTCGCCTTACGTCTTCCAGGTCCCATATTGTAAACCAAGAAACGCTGCGTTATTTTTTAAAGTCCTAGCTAATCACTATGGGAAAATCGCAAGAAAAAATGCACCATTAAACGAGGGTAATACTTCATTGGAGTTCTTGGAACCTTTGGTGGAAATTGGCCTCAAAGAGTGCCTTAAAAGCTTGAAAGCTGATACCAGCCAAATAACCCTTCTTATGATTGAGGGAAATCTCCAATGCGACGTTTTAATGCAGGTTGGTGGATAGTTTTGTAACTGAAATATTTTTTTTCCGCTTGCGATTAGCAAGCGTTATGTGAAAAAATTAAACGAATTTAAAATAGATATTACTATTAACTCAAAAAGCATGATTAAAAAACAAAATTGGCTAATTGAGTTTCACAACTATTTTCTACTTGTCATGTTTTTGTTCCGACCATTTGAAAAATGTGGAGGAACTTTGTATTCGGGTTTGTTTTAGTTTTTTTTCTTTGTAGTTTTCCACGCAAAACCAAACCAGGTAGCACAAATAATCATCGGGATGGGTCGAGTGATAGATCATAATAAAGCCCTTTCAGCCGTGATTCGAACGACTTCATAAAAATCTTGAAAATTTTCTCCGTTGGTTTAAAATTTTTGATTTTTAGTCTAATTTCAAGCTAATAAGGTGAGGCTGAGCTGGCTTACATAAGCTTATTCATGCTTAATTTAAGCCGTGAAAACTTAGTTTTACTCGAGTAAAGTTTATTTTTGGAATTTATAGCGGCAATTTGGGAATCAAAAGTTTTTTAAACTATTTTTTCTAATCATTTTTCCTACAAAAAATTGTTGCAATTGGCCTTTTTTGCTATGAATGTCAAATGAGCCTAAGTTCTATTTTTTTTCGTTCAGTTCTTTTTATCTTACCACGCAGAAAAAAACGACATTAAATTTGAAAAAAACTTGTTTTTACTGTGTCCGGAACGTTCTATGCTACTTTTTGTGTAGTTACCGGCTATCCTTGTTCTACCGACCATTTGAAAAAAACGGGGAGGAACTTACTCAGTTTTAGTTTTTTCTTTTTTTGTTTTCTGTGAAGAATCAGCTACCAAAGCAATAGTTTATTTTAATGGCTTAAAAGCTTTCAATAGCTTAATTTAATTTAAGCCGCAAAAACTTAGTTTTACTCAAAGAAAGTTATCTTTAAAGTTTTTAGCGCTTTTATGAATAAAAAATTTCAAGAAATTGAAAAAGTGAGTTTTTTTAGGTTTCGTTTTTCTAGACAGTTTTCTACGATCATTATTGGAAAACAATTTATTTAGAAAATTGACTAGAAAAACAAAACCTATAAAAATTTCAAACCCTTTTTTTACACAAGCAATGCTTGTGTTATAGTATGAACTATCTTTTTTTCCAACCTAAGTCGCAAATATTCTTGCGACGCAAATACTGTTGAGATAAAATGTGTTCATTTTAAAAGTGTTCATTTTAATCAATAACCATCTATTAGGTACAGCAAATGCTTAGGATTTTAACTCAGACTGTTTTTGTTCCTACTTTTGTAACGAAAGTAATGGATTGCTTGTGCTCGGGGTGGTTTTTTTATTCAGACAAATTTCGACTTTTAACTAGCCCTTTTTGACGGGATTTTCTAGTATCATTCAAAAAGTATTGTTGTCCTGAGCTTAAATTTGGAAAGGTCTAAGATCCGACGAAAGTCGGATTTCACCTGTGATCATTTTTCGTAAAGTTATGGGGGTATAAAAACTGCCAATTTGGGACAATTAACGCGCAATATATTTCGCGCTATTAACGCGTAATCGGAGATTCAATCCGTCATAGAAATCGTTCCAAATTGGTTGAAGGAAGCTTATTTGCCATAATTGATTTGTTGCTAGGAGCGACATTAATCACGTAGTACTTGATATGGCGTGTGGGGGATGATTTTCACAAAAAAAATTTAAATAAAAAAAAGTTTTCAATTTTTGTTTATTACATTTAATTTTTTCATAGTATTGCTCCATAGACTGCTCTATAAATTGAGGCATTTTAGTTGGTTAGCTTCTTTTTTTTCAAATTGACTGATACTGCTAATGCGTCATAATTGGCGTGCGTCACGTAAGAAATTTTGTAGTCAAAAATTTGCTCATTCATTTTTCCCAGTAGCGTTATTGGTCATATTTTTGCTTGTGTATGCGAAGTGCAACTTCGCCTCTGTGTTGATTTTTTTTCATTATGACTGTCGAATATGCCTAGTTTTTTTGTTAAGATCCGTTTATCAAACAACGCCGAAAAACGACCCTAATTTCAAAAAAAGTGAGTTGTAATTTTTTAAGACTACGGTCGGAAAATTCTGTGCTGCTTGCACAGTAATCGGTTATCCTTGTTTTTTTAATGTTCTTAGCATCTGTGTGCTGTCTGCGCGATTCGGAATATACATTTGTTGATAGTCTACAATCTCGCGAATAATGTGCGGTGTTTGTTGGCGAGGCCAGGAAACATAGTTTGCATTGGATGGAGATCATCGGATCAATACCACAGTAAGTACGACATGAGTATTGTTGTTGTTCCGGCCACCGCTGTTGGAGCTAAGTGACTGGTTGTAAGTTTTTACACCAGAAATAAGCATTTTAAAGCAATTTAGATGCAAGCTATGTAATCATTTCAGAGAGTCAGGATGATCAACAAGTGACTAATTATCAAACATTTCTGAAAAATGTTGTCATAATTAGTCACTAAATGTTATCTTTTAGTTCCTTGACATGAATACCGTTTTTCCAACTGTGTGTTGTTCTGTTGTTTTTGTTCACACAAAGTAGCGAATTATTGTAGCAGTTAACCTTTGATTCCGGGGTCTTGTTTATTTTTTTGGACCTCTAATTTGCGGAGGAACTTGTCTTCGGGTGTGCGATAGTTTTCTCTGCAAAATCAGGTACCACAAATAATTATCAGAATGGGTCGAGTGATGTATTATATTTAAAGTCATGACTCGGACAGCCTTTATAAATCTTCGAAAAGATTTTCCAAGTATCGAGAGAAACTTCTCGGAAGGTTTTTTTTTGAGTTTTTGAGCGTTTTATTCTAAATTATAAAAATTTCACCAAAAAATACCCTTTTATGTCTGAGATTGTGATTCAATCCAAAGAACGGGTTGTCGGCACGTTTTTTGATTTTTTTTTCGATTTTCTCAGAATCTAATTTCCCAAACCTGAGATTGTGGGTTCAGTGGAGTTAACGTTTCAGTTATTTTTCACAAAAAGTTATCGTCTTCGGAAAAGTCTTTTTTTTTTCGAGTTTCACAGCGTTTTTTTTTCAAACTTTTATGAATTAAACCAAAAAATACCCTCTCTTATCTCAGATTTCGGGTTCAATCCAAAAAATGGGTTGTGGCAAGCATTTTTGCTTAAGCGATTACGCCCGATTTTTTCAAAAGTTTTGGCCCTCGGAAAAGACAAAATTTTGATTTTTGACCGTTTTTCGAAACTTTTTGTTTCTCTCGAGAATTACCTCTCAAATATGTCTATTTTGAATTCAATCGAAATTACAGGTTGAGTGAATTTCTTCTGCATACGTAGCTAATCTCAATTATTTTTACACAAAAAGCTATGATTCTTGGAAATGTCATTTTTTTTTCGTTTGTTGACCGTTTATTGGACTTTTCTCGATAACTATCCTAACAAATCTGATATCATAGTTTTGGATCAATACGAAAGTTTTGGTTCACCTAATTTATTACATCTATTTTTTATTTTTTTTTTTCGATTCATGCTTTTTTATGATTTGGTTGTATCGCAAGTGGTGCGAAGCTCCACTTTGCCTCTGTGTAAAAACTGTTCAGGCTCGCATTTACCTTTTCGCGGTTTGAAGTTTGATTTATTTTTAAGTTCAATTTATTTCTTTTGTTCAAGTGAGGGAAAAACTCTACTATTGATCAGAAAAAGTGTAAAGGTCACAAAAAATGTGATCGACTGCTAGTTTCGAAAGTAGAATTTAGTTTTCAGATTTCCCAGCGAAATAAGAAATTTTTTTACTGATCCAATGTTCTCAAATTGGGTGATTTTTTATCAAAAAAGTGTCAATCATTAATTTTTGTAGAAGTTCAAAGAGCTATAAGGCCATCTACTTTTTTTCTTTGAAATTAGAAAATTATTTCGTAAAACAAATCAGTCTTTTTTTATTTACTTGCGTTTATTGACTCTTTTCCAACTGTCTGTTGGCTGTTTTTTTCGGTTGAAAGCTTTTTTGGGTTTCAAATAATTGGGCCTGTTTTATCGGCCTAGTGACCTAATTTTGCGTCGTTTGGAGGGTAAAATTGGTTTCCGTAGGGCGGAGAATTTTCAGAACTTGAAAAGTTTCCCATGACAAAAGTTTATGTTTTCGGCTCAACGGGAGCTTACCCACCTTTTTTAGCGTATTTGGCTCTTACTAAACGTTTTTGGATACTTATTTAACGGCGGAGAATGTGTTCTCGACGTGTTTTCCACAAATTGAATATCCTTCAAGACAAAATTATGAATTTTGTTTAGTTGTTTTCAAAATGTATTCGACTTTGTTCTTTCCTTTTATGTCCTTTGTGTCTCAAATTCAACTGCATTCGAGTCGAACGCAAGAAAGTCCTCCATGAGTTTTTGCCGCTTTTTTCGGCAATCTGCTGTGCTGTTTCTGTTTCGCAAGTGGCGCAGAGCTTCGCTTCGTATCACGGTCGAATTTTCTTAGTCCTTCCATGGAAGTGATCTTGTGGGTTGCCGATCTCGGACTAAATTGAAAACTAGCTGGCAGTTCATGTGCGATTTATAGGTGAAATCAGGGTGTCCAATTTTTCTCCAAGATATGGGTTTTTAAACGTTTTGGACTTCGGCTCGGACATCGTCTTATTAGCCTCATTTTTATTGCTGTGGATGCTCATCGCTACGTGGGTTAGTTACTTGTGGTTGATTTCTCATCGCTACTTGCACGACAGAAAGCGGTCATTTTCGTTCTATGGAGCTGGTAATCTCTTGGTGTCTTACAAATTAATTTCCTTCAATTTAGCTCAGTCTCAATCCAAACACCATGTCATCTGAATCGCCAACAGATTGACAATTAACTAGTTTTTGCTCTAAGCCTAGTAAGCAGTTAGCTCCTTTTAATGTGTTTTATCAGAGAAATCAACTGAGAAATGAGGCTGCATAATTGAGAAATGAGGTGCTAAGGTATTAAATGATGGTATTAAAGCAGCGAAGTATTGTAGTGTAGTTGTTTTAGAGTTCAAAAGGTTGGCACCGTTTTTGTCCAGTTAGCGTATAAGTTGACAGGGCATGGATCATGAAGCTTTGATGCCTGGTGTTGCCTATTTTGCAAGTTCTTGACTTAGAGTAATGAACTTAGTGAAGACTCATATATATATTTGCTATTTTTTTGAAGCAAAGTCAGTGTTTTTTTAATGTTTACTTACGTTCATTACTGTTTTTTGATCTTTGATTGGCTATGTTTTATGTAATCGCAATGTTTTATGTAATCGCAATCTTTTTCTTTAATGGGTTGTCTTCTTTCTGAATAATTAGTCATATTGTGATCATTATTTCTTAAGCTTTTATCGCAAGTAATGAGTGACTCAGCTGCGCCTCTGTGTTTAAATTTTCCCCATTAAAATAAAATATATATATTTTTTTTGGAAGAGGAAGTTTCGCAGCTTGTAGGTCGAAAATAAATGCTAACATGAGTAGTTTTATAAGAGAAGTGTCATTTTTTAGGCGAAGTTGCTACAGCTTTAGACAGTATGCATCAAACATGTCAAGCGCATCCATTAAGGACTTCGATGGAAGTTGCCAATGATCCGTGCAAAGGTCAAGAGAATGATTTGGGGACCAGCACATATTCAGAGCGATTGAAAAAACAAAATAATTTTTGTTTGGAAACTAAAGAAATTCCAGGCACAAGAATATCTTTGTTAAGCGACGACCAAAAAGAACTTCAAAGCCAAAATATAGTCACAGAAAGCGCAGAAACAGGGTTTAATACCAGAGAAGGATTGGAGGAAGAAAGTCAGGAAAATAAGGAACAAAGTAACGACGTATCAACAATGCGGGTCAAAGGGTACCCTGTCCCTTCTGTATCTAATGGAGTAAGGAAGACTAAAGAAAAAAAGAAAGAGGCCAGAGCCAAGAAAAATCATCGAAATTATAAACATGTAACCGCTGCATATTATGTGCCGATGTCGAGAAAAGTACGAAATACCCTAGAGCAAGGCATGCCATCTTTCAGAACAGCCGAAGTTGAAGACCAGACGAGTAGCTTGGCAGCATTGCAGGAACAGTTGTTGATAAACAATCTAGATATTAGTGCGCTGCAAAAGAGAAAATCCTCTGAGGAAATTCAGAAAAAGCTGGCACGCTTAAATATAACTAACAAAAAATTAACGAAACAAATTAAACTTGCGAAAGATGAGCAAAAGTTGAAGTTGAAAAATCAAATCAAAACCTCGCAAGAATCTGCCGTGGTTGTGAGACATGAACTGAATATACCAGACTATTCGAAGGCAAATGTGATTAGGTTCACACCTGGCGAAGAAGATGCCCCTGATATTCAGATTTGAGGGGTCAGTTTAAGTCTCAATGTTTCAAAAATTCTCTTTTGCAAATCAATCTTATGTTCTATTATACGTTGAGTACATTGTCAAGTTTACGAGAAGTGTAACAAAAAATTACCTAAATTTGATCATGTAATATGACTAATATGAGGTGTATAAATTTGCTGATTCAATATATATTGTTTCAAAAGTTCCTTTTGGCATAACGAGTTGTTGTTTAAAATTGGCAAATCAATGAATTGCTAACTAATAAATTGTTCAAAATGATGGTTCATCGATTTGAAAGAAAAACCAGACATGCAGAAGATAAATATCCGAAATAATCTAATACTCGTGCTATCTATTGATATCAAAATTATCAGTCTTAGATTACATGCTTGAAACAGGTGGCGTCCCTCATGCTTGAAGCACCGAATGCTTGAAATTAATTTTAGCTTACTTTCAGCCAATCAGAATTGAGTATTCAAAATCTCAAAGTAAATCGCAAAAATCTCAAAGTAAGAAAATAAATCCAGGCCATTAGTGTTAATATTGATCGATTAGATAATAAGCAGATGAGTTTTCAAGACTGAAATTTTGACCTCATTAATCTTGATGTTAATCTGAATAGTACTGCGGTTGTAACCCGCAATTTGTAACATTTTTGATTATTTTCTCCTGATTTCATACATTTTCTGTAAACATTGACTTCGATTTTGCGAGAAAAGCATTTGGCCAATAAAAACGCTTAGCGATTTTGATTGGTTGAAATTTTTCAAGCATTCGGTCCTTCAAGCATGAGAACTCTCCCCCTTAAAACAGGTGGGTATTCACAAGTACCAAATTGATAAATCAGTACCATTTGTACCAAAATAAAACTCAATCGCATTAGTACCAAAAAAAATTCCATTGGCCGAAGACTACTAAGCTGACTATTTTAAGCTCTTGGTTTAAGGTCGCCTGTGGGCGCGTATCACGCACATCGCCGCTTCGTGGCTATAACCAGCTCTAATTTTCATATAGAGTCCTACCCTCTTGGCAAGCTCGCAACTTGTTGGCGCGACTGCGGCGGTCACTATTCTGCGGTTTAGTTTTCTGCTGTTTGAATAGTAGAAAGCTAATGTAATAATTCGTTGGCTCACAATTCGACCAATCAGAAATCGAGTTGAATAACTTTGGTACAAATGGGACCGATTTTTCATTTTGGTACAAATGAACCTTGGTACAAATGGGACTTCACATTGAAACAGACATATTGATTTTAGAATAATCGTTAATGATTTATTGAATTTGCCTTCGCAATTCGAAATGGTATTGTAATCGGGCAGTAGAATTTTTCACGTAAACAGTTATAGTAATAGAAGGGTTACGTATACGCTCATGTTTTTCCAATTGTTTTGCCGAAATGTCTTACACTTGCGATAGTATAAATGTTCATTTTGTTTGGGCGTCGGCTTCAATTCTGTGGGTTTATATGCCAATTATGACTTTTTCTTTGTGGTATTCTCCAGTATTTACGACTGATTATACCATTGAAGACAAATCTTGACAAAAATCAAACGAAACCTCTCAGGCCAGCTAGCTACCATGTTAGCAAACGTTATCAAATTGGAAAATATAATTTTTTGCAGGTAAACAACTCGTCTAACGAAATCACAATCATTTAATTATTTCCTAGTCATCTGAAATTTTTGAGTTCGTACTTCCAACTGACACAATAAGATCATGTCTTTGTTTCAAATACCCGTTCTGTTTGTTTTGACTCACTACGTAATTCGCGGGGTCGAAATATACCGGGAGGGGGTTTGGTTGGCCATTTGAACAAAAAAGGTCTTTCATGGTGTAGAGTTCAAAATTATCAGGGGGGTCTCGCAAATTTAGATTTATTCTGATTAACATATGACAAAATCGAGTTAAAAATCAGAATTTTAGTAATTCAATCCAGACGATATTTTTTTGCGTTGAAATCACAGTTTTTGGTGCTCTCAAAGTTGATCTATTTTTCAAAAACTTTGGTTATTAATTTTATCGTATAAAAATTCTTGTTGAGTCCATTCAACCCCCCCAATTTGGAGGGACCATTATTCTAGGGGTTTGGGTCTATGAAGAAGTCGATTTGTGTTGTTGCTGGGGGGGGGGGTGATCCCGACAATTAAGTAGAGTAAGTTTGTTATATATTACCATTCCGATTTGGCCTATTATCGGTTTTTTGTTGTTTTATTTGGCCTACGCTTCATATTCATATAATTTTTCATATCCATAATTTTTCTATTCAGCTTTTAAGGTTTCGGCTAATGACATATCGGCTTAGTGGCCTCATATTGCGTCGTTTGATTAGCGAGGAAAAGTTTCCTATTGCGTTTTGTGTGTGTTTTGAGAAGGGGATTTGAAAAACTTTTTTTTATGAAAAACAATTTATACAGCTTGACGAATATGAATTTTTAGACTGAAAATGATCAAGAATGGATCAAAAGCGGTTTTTCGTTGATTTTTTTTTGCTGAGGGAGGTATTTATTTTGCTTCATATTCTGTAGTATAATATAGCTAAATGACAGTAAATGTGGAAGAGATTCTGAATGGGTTGAAATAGCTTAGATTTCATCCTAACTTTTTCGTTGCAATTATCACTAGGTTACAAAAGTTACTATTAGAGAAATAACCAAGTTTTTGTAGTAGTATACCAAATTGCTGACACTAAATTTCTTTTTCGGTTTTGTGCTGAATTATTTTTATATGAACGTACTTGACAACCAGTTCATCAGAAGGATTTAATCAAATGGTGCAGATGAATGACGTTTCTGCTTCGTCCTAGTCTTGTCTTAACAGTTTTTGCCTTCGTTTCTTAGTTGTACTGCTTGCCCTTTTTTAAAAGAAACGATGAACGTAGTTCAGACTCTTATGAAGGCGGCATTTTTTTTCTCGTTTTTTTTTCAGGAAAATTTGTTCAGGCTCAAATTCAATTTTTGGCGGTTTGACTTTTGATTTTTTTAAGTTCATTCCATTTGTTAAAAGGAGGGCAAACTCCACTATCAAACAGCGAAAGTTAAGCGGTTGCGTAAATTATGATCGACTTCTAATTTTGAAAATGGAATTTAATTTTCAGGTTTCCCATCGAAAAAAAAAAGTTTTACCTATTGATCCAGTTTTCTAAAGTTGGGTCAACTTTATCAAAAAGTATCAATGATATATTCTTCTAGAAATTCAAAAAGCTCTAAGGCTATCTATTTTTTAAATGCAGAAGTTTTTTAGTTTAAATGCAGAAGTTGAGAATTCAAAAAAATAGGCCAGTATTTTCCGTTTATTTGCTTTCATTGACTCTTTTCCAACTGTCTATTGGCTATGTCCCTCAGAGTAAATCTTCTTGTTTTTGCATTTTATATCTTTTTGATATTTTTTAAAGGATGTTTTACAACGGGGAGTTTCACGCCTCAAAATCAGTACTCGAACGTTACAAAAATTGACTGTAGTTTATAGGTTTCCCTGCTGAGGTCAAAAGTTACCTTCAATTCTTTTTTAACTCTAAGAGAAAAAATTATTATTTTTTGATAATATTGTGACAGGTTGTTTGCAACAGCTCCTCAAAATCAGTACTTGAAATGTTACAATTTGATTGCAGTTTAAAGGTTTTCCTTTAAATCTTTTCCTTAAATTGTTAGAGAGTCAAAAGTTTTTTTGTTTTTGATGAAAGTTTGAAGCGATGTTTGCAACGGGAAGTTTCGCTCGTCGAAATCAATAAATTTTGAATTTTGATCGGAGTTTTTAGGTTTTCTTGCAGAGTACAAAAGTTATCTCTTAATTTTTTCTCTGATATTTTAAGTGAAACAAAATTTAGTTTTTTGTGATGACTTTTGAAACAATATATTGTAACAGGGAGTTTCATACCTTGAAATTATTACTCGAAAACTTCAGAAGTTGATAATCGTTTTCAGGTTTTCTTCCGATGTTCAAAAGTTACCTTTTAATCTTTCTTCTCAAATATTAAGAAATCAAAACTAAGTGTTTTGTGAAATGTTTGTGACACGATGAAAGGGTTAGTTTCACGCAACGCAATCATTACCCGAAATTTTCAAAAATTGATTGTAGTTTTAAGCTTTTTCTGCTCTTCTTTCTTAAATTGTAAGAATTTGAAAAGTCTTCAATTTTCATCAGGCTCAAATTTAGTTTTTGACGGTTTGAGTTCTGATTTTTTCGAAGTTCAGTTCAGTTTTTTTGTTAAAAGGGAAACAAATTACACTATCAAACAGAGAAAGTTAAAAGGTCACGAAAAATATGATCGACTTGTAGTTTCGCAAATGGATGAAGTTTAATTATCGAATTGCCCAAACGAAACAAAAATTTTACGTATTGATCCAGTTTTCTCACGAAAGAACTGTGTTAACATAAATCTCACGTGAAAGTGTTTTTTGTGTTTCAATGCTTTATGATAAGTTCCTTTTTAGCGGATCCTGCTGCGGATTTGATGCATTGCTAAGACCCATGTTTGAGACGACAAAGGCTCGCTCGCTATTCGAGTCCAGCCGAGATCTTTATTTGCAAAATGAACGTTTCCGGCTATTTTAAACTCTTTTGTTTGCTTTATTTTGTCGGCTTAGTACCCACAAAACGAACGTTTTTCAAGGGTCAGCTTGTTTTTAATATTGCATTCAACAGAGCTGTTTGCTTTTGATTAGATTATTGAAAATTTCTTATGGTGTAGGGAACTGAGTTCCGATATCTCTGAGATTTTTGGGCAAGAAACGATTCTTCAAAGCTTTATTATTTTTGATTTGCTGATTCATCTGCAAGAATATTATTCATTCATTTTTGCATCGCAAATGGTTCGAAATTTTGTTTCGTTGATTTTGTTTTGAAATTGGTAAAAATTTCCGCTTCGCCTTTCGGTAAAATATAGACCAAGTTAACGGCATCCCCTAAGGCAGCTTTTGGGTGTTGGCTCTTAACTTGGTTCTCAGATAGAATTTTCTGCCAATCAGAATTGATCATTTTACTCACCGACCGAAGCTATTTTACTTTGAATTAAAAGATGGGGTCGAATGTCTTACTTGATCCACAATATCTGCCTGTCAGATGGTTCCACTAACAGATGTTTGCGTGCTACCCTGTTCACATTCGATAACTCGGGAATAAGGGATTCGGAAAAGAAGCATGGATATAGAACATTTCATAAAAAGTGCGAACAGCTTAGAAGCCAACACTCACTAGAACTTAATTAACAAGGAAGATAAAATAAATTTATGATTTTGTTTTTGCTTCAGGTTTAAATGGCTATCAGAGATAAAATTGAGGCGAATTCTCACTCGCTGTTGAATACACTTTGTTCAGAGCACGTGAAAGATAATTCAGGAAAATCGGATGAAAAATTCGATGTTAATCCTTCAGTCTTGCAGACGCTAAAGAAATTACAAAAGAAAATCAATGAAGCGTTACCCAGTGTTCGTACTGACAATTTAATAGCTCGTGAACTTTTGAATGGTAACCAAAATTCTTCGTTTGTTAAGTTTGCAACAGAAAAGTTTGGAAACTTTACGAGCGACGAATACCCGAAATTAGATTTCAAAATAAAAGTTGAATCATCAATATCGGTAGAATCATTTTTCCCCCTGAGTTTAAAAAATAATGAAGACCTCATGCTATACGTTCTTGTTCCGGCTCAGTTCTTCTACAAGTCAGATATTCGCAATTATCGACTGTTTCAAAAATTGAACCTTGTTTTATTAGCTGTTCTCGAAGTTCTGAGGAATGACAATATTTTACAAGCAGATGATTGGAAATTGTTTGGATTCCAGGGCGGACAGTTTGAACCTTTGATCTTTGATCACTGTTTTGTCAAGGCAGAAATAAACCAGCAATCGCAGCAAAAGAGAAATCTGTCTCTTAAGATGACATGTGTTCCTGAAACTGTTGAGAAGTTCGATTTGAAAAAATTGTCACGAGATAAGAGCAACCTTTCGTTTAGTTATTTGAAAAAAAGTGTACAGGAAAATTTGTTACAACAGAAGGAAGAAACACCCCAAACACCAAGTTCTTTGTATAATCAGACAGTTTTAAGTTGTCTCTGGAAAAAAATGCTCAACAAAAGCTGTGTAGATTTTTACTCGAAACTTCCAGAAGTGTACAAAAACTGCCTCAGTCTTATTGTAACATGGACTACCAAGAGCAATTTTGACCATCTTCTAAATATTGAAGTTTTGTTAAATAGTATGAAATTGTTGTTGTCATCTGGGAAAATATCAGAAACAGGTTCAAATTATGAAGGGGTTTTTGATGCGTTTTCAGACTACATTAAATTTCTGAACCAGATTGTGTCAGAAAATTTTCGCCTGTCTAGCAATGAAGAGCGCGGGATCTTATTCGTTGAAAGTGGTTTTTGTCCTGGTTTGAATATGTTTAGACACTTTTCACCTATTGACGCTTCAATTTTAAAAAAGTCTCTTCTAGCAATGGTTAATAGCTTCAACGATTTGGGCGACCAAGCTTTGAACGCCGAACTGTTTGTCGCGGATCATGCTATCTTCGCACTCTATGATTTGATTTTCTCTTTCGGAATCAAAGAAGGTGGGCTAACTGATATGATAAAACCAGAAAGTCGGCTCACGTACAGCTGTAATCCCAAGTTATATGCCATTGAGAGGTTAGTGGAATTATTGCATGCAGCGTTTGGTGAAAAAGTTTCTTCTATTGATCCAATAGAAGTACCTGGAATTGAATCAGAATATAAGCTGAAGGAGATGCAAGTAGAGACGCCCGAGGAGCCATCAGCTAAAAAATCCAGGCAAAGTTCCGAAGAAATTCTAGATGGTAAAATGCTGGTTGTAAATATAGGAGTGAAGCTGAATCCCAAACGACAACCGGAAGCTGTGATTCGAGGACCGCTGCCGGACAATAAGAAAGGTGCGTCTAAATTTACTATAGGTTTCTAGACTTTTTTGTTTTGAGAATTCTTTTCAAACTCACTTTTGGTCTGAATTCGTTTCAGAAAAGAGGGCTTTCAAGAAGTTTGAGAAAGTCTTAGACTAAAATTTAAGCTCTAGGATGCAAAGAAGGATTTTTAAATTATTTTCATGTTAATTAGTTTTGTTATCTTAGATGCCGAAAAATTTCGTGAACTTTGGGGCCCTGAACTGTGCAAATTGCGACGCTTCAAAGATGGAACTATTTGCTACGCTGTATCATTTCCAGAATTTGCCGGTTCGAAACAGAAACTACGCAATGTCGCTTCGGAAATAATCAAACACATTGTAACATTTCATTTGGGACCTGAAAATATAGCATATTTGAATGTTGTATCTGACAAAATAGAGTTTCAACTAGTTGACAAGCTCAAAAACTCATACGATTTAAAAGGAACGGGCGAAGAGGAAATACAAAGAGGGAAAGATATTTTGTCTGATTTTGAATCAGTGTTACTGGATATTTCTGGAAAATTGCCTCTTCAACTGAAATCTGTGACTTGTCTAAACGATGATGTGAATAGAAATTCGTCTGTAGTGCCTCCTAGCATGCAACATGATATTACCTGGCAGAAGTTGATGCCATCTGTGCATGGTGTAGTGTGTGTTCCGGACAAAGAAACTCACCTGGCGGAGGGAAACATTGAACGGATAAGAAGTGTAGATATTCAGTTGATGCTGGAAACGAATGATAAATGGCCGTCCAATAATTTTGAGGCGATCAAAAGACTGAAAGCGGCTTTTTACTTGAAAATACATGAGCTTCTGCGAGATAAAAAGGTAAGCCGTAATGTGTTTCCCAGAGTTGATAGTGTCCTCTTTTCAAGAGCCCATTTTTCATAGCCTTTCGATAAGAATATCTGGGTGTTGATATAATCACGTACATTTTCGAAGTCAAAATGAAGTAATGTTAATAGATTCTTGTATTGTTTTCAGATTGCACATCAAAACATTCAGTCTTTCGCAACCTTCGACGCTCTCATAGCTCTGTTCGACAAGCAAGTTTTCAGAGTCAACATTTTTCATCCTCCTGAAATTTCGATGCAAATGCGTGAACTGAAGACCCCAAAAGGGGCTAAATATTGGGAACATTCGGCAGATTCAAGGAAAACTACTCTGGAGCAAGTTTTGCGGCCGAAATTGCGAGTAATGCTGGAGGGCTTTGAACAGTTCTTCCCTCAGTTTGGTCCGATTTGTCGCCTGGTGAAGCTGTGGATGAGTTGTCAGCTGATGATGTTCGAGTTTGGAAATGTGGTTGTCGAGCTCCTGGTTGCGGCAATGTTGGAACACTCTTTCAAAAGAGGTACGCAGCTTTAAATTAAGATAATTTGTCTATTTCAATTCTCTCATCTGATAGACCTTCGTGGTATCTTTGATTTTTTGAAATGCTAGAATACTTGAAATTTACGACGGAAAGTCTCTTAACAAACTGTAAGTTTGACCAATTGCGCATGTTTTTCGAAAATTTAGCTCTCAATTAGATCGCCTCCATTATGAACCATGTGTTGTTAAGAGTTCGTTGTTCACATTGAACTCTTTTTTTTGGATGCGTTTTTCAAAAGAAAATGGAATACGATTTTTTTTCTCAAAGCTGTGATTTTATCATGAACATGTATATTTTTGTACCGATTGGCCTCAGCGTAAAAATGATCAGTTAGTGAGTTTATAGGAGATGTCCCTTGCTGCATGCAAAGTGGTCTGCTGGAGTTCTGGAGGTTCATCTCTACATTCAATTTCGTCACCAACTACATCACACTTCGACTGGAGGACCCAACTGATAGTCACAAATCAGAGCAATCAGGTTAGACGCCATCCGCTTGTGGTGCAGTTCAGATTAAGACTAAATGGAACGGAGAAAATTAGTCTTCGCCCTTGGTTAATGCTATCGTTTTTTAATGCTTACAAAAGAAAACCATTTGCAGTTTGCTGGAATCAAAATTTATTTTCCTACATGGTTGGCAGGGGCAAATAAAATAGCAGGTTTTGTAGAAAAAAAGCGTAAGCCTACTTAAGTTAAGATCTTTAATAAATTAAATATAAAGATACGACTCGTGCAAGCAAACAGACACTGGTCAAAATTTCGGATGCCTATTTTTGCTGGGGCTCCATTCAGGCGCGGATCTACGTTATTTTCGGAAAGTGACGGATGTTATAAAAAAATATTTTGTCGACCTTATTTCAGGTCAACCAAATTAATGTTGATCGAATTTTCCTTTAGACGACGAAGAAGATGTTCTGGGGATGAAGTTCGACTTCAACCGAGCCAACTTCCCCCCTCTGACTATTTTCACTCCTGTCAAATCAAATGAGTCAATATTCACCATGGACCTACCGCCTGTTCTACTCACCCGGTTGTGCAATCTAAGTTCAGCTGCATTACAAAAAGCGAATGGAGATCTTAACAATTTTCTTGTTCCAGTTATAGGAAAAAACGCAAATGACAGTGATTTTGACGCATTGTTCACACCTGATTATAGAGCGTTTGATTTGGTATTGCGATTGAAAGAGGATATGATATGCTCGTCAAGTAATTTTTACCAGAACCGAGAATCCTTTGGACATAATCGTGAAAACTATTTCGTCGATAGAGGTAACACTGCGTTTGCACGGATAGATCCGATACCTCTTTACAATGTGAACGTACCTGAAATGGTGTCCAAAAGATTGAAAGAGAAGCTTGGTCACATATTGTTGGTATTTTTCGATTCGTATTCAATTGTTGCCAAAAGAATTGGACTGAAGTTCAAAAAGAGTCAAAATGTAGAACTGAATAAATGGCTGACTGACAATCTTGATCAAGTAAAGGAACAGATTAATTTGATGGTCGGGCCGGGTGCGTTGGACTGTATGAAAGAGCAGAAGAAAAATGTGTCGGCATAATAATAAAAATATGAATATAAATTTTTTCCGTCAGTTTGAGTTAAGGGATGATAAGAAATCATAGTTGACAGTTAGTATCGATACTTCGTTGGAATGTGATAGTTGACGATTTTGTGTGGTGCAAACTTTAGCAGTCGAAGCTTTTGTCGAAATTTGGTGTGATGATTTTCAGATAATTAAAATGTCTGCCAGCAATGGGATTGCAGCCTCGGTTACAGGCATTGACCCTCGGAGACCTAACAAGGTAGTGCGATACAGACCCCCTCCCGTGGCAGAGAACAGTTCAGCCCCAGCTGATGACCCAATTGCAGACTACATGAATTTACTGGGCATGGTGTTCAGCATGTGTGGCCTGATGATGAAACTCAAATGGTGTGCTTGGGTCGCTGTCTATTGTGCTTTCATATCTTTCGCTAACTCCAGGTACACTGTTCTCGACACGTTTTAAATAATAAACGTACGTTCTGATTGGTTATTGAAGTATTGGATGAAGTGAAAATCTTCTACTAAATTAACAAGTGGACATTCACCACAAGTGGATATTCACCACCCTACAATGAAATAACTAATGTCAGCAGTAATCAAATCTGGAAAACGTTGAGTTTTGATTGGCTGAAAGAGCATTATGTTCGTCAAGGGAACGCTATCCTCCGTAAATTGCTTTATGTTAATCCTACTGATGAAAAGGCTAAATGAAAGCTCTAATGAGTTTGCTTTCACTGATAACGGACGGTAAGCCAAGGTTTTGTACCGTTTTTTATCGGAATTTCTTGGGATTTTTAATCAAGATTGTGAAATTGCACGGCCTTCTGTTTGGAATTATAAAAGGTGGTAACCCTATATTATACCACGCTTGACTTTTCGACTTACTGGATGAAGTTGCATTGAACCAGTGTCCATTTTTTGTGTTTCTTTCAGGGCAACAGAGGATTCCAAACAGATGCTGTCCAGCTTCATGTTATCAATATCAGCAGTAGTCATGTCGTACCTGCAGAACCCGCAGCCCATGACACCGCCCTGGCAGTGATCACACCTCATTAAGTCGTGTCCGATTCAATACTATGGACAGTTTCTAAATTGTGTCATGATTTCTGAAGCATCTCAGTCGATATCATGATTCTTATGCATTGTATTTTGTTTTATTGAAATTTTATCCTTGCAAAATTAGTATCTATAATATATATTCACATCGTTATGGGTTAAATTATGAATCCGCTCTCCGCATAATGAAATAAAGTTGCAATTATGGCCCGTTTTTTATAGGGAAAGTCGATCAAGCTATATCATTTTATATATGGGATAAGCACGAATCGGGCTTTAAACGAAAACAACTTCGATCAAACCTGGTCTCTCAATGGTTCTTTCAATTGATACAGCTTGACTTGTTCTTGTAACAAAACAACTTCTTTTGCCTCTCTTTTTTCGTCGCTTTGTAAGTGTAAAAGATCGAAGTGATTGTCACTTATATAGAGGTCGCAATTTTGTTTTTCGTTTTCGTTTCATGAACAATTTGCTTAAGCTCATATTGGATTTTTCGCGGTTAAATTTTTGGCTTCTTTTTAAATCAAGTTCATTTCTATTGTTAAAGAAAGGCAAACTCCACTCCCAAACACGAAAGTGTAAAGGTCACAAAAACGTGATCGACTACTAGTTTCGAAAGTGGATTTTAATTTTTAGATTTCCCAGCGAAATAAAAATTTTACCTATTGATCCAGTTTTCTCAAATCGGGTTAATTTTATTGAGAAAATGTCTTCTGTAATTTGTCATTAAAATTAACGAGATTTAGAGCATCTTTTTTTCTTTCAATTTCGAAAGTTGAGATTTTTCAACAAGCAAGTCAGTATTTTTTTTTTCTAATCTATTGGGCTCATTGACTATTTTCCAATTGTTTATTGGCTATTTTGTAGGTCGTGATGATTTTTTTTTCGTTACTTTGTATCAGGAAAAGATCTTCAGGATCAAATATACTTTTTCACGGTTTGACTTTTGTTCAGTTTTAAAGTTCAGTTCATTTCTTTTGTTAAAAGGTTTTGAATAAGATTTTTCCATAAAGATAAGTCAGTGTTTTTGTCTGTTTATTTGCGTTCATTGACTTTCAACTTTTTAATGGCTTTGTTTTGAAAAAATACCAATCATTAACTTTTCATAAGACTTAAAAAGCTCCAATGTAACATAGTTTTTCTACTTTCCAAACTTTCAATTAATTTATTTTTTTTCGGTTTCTTGTTTTTACATTTCTCTGACCATCTGTCGGTTATATTTTCAATATTATGGTTCGCCGGCTCTGTTGTTCTTTGTCATGTACGGCGCCTTTGATTTTAATTCATTGTTTGTTTGTTTTTCTGCCTAATTGAGTTTTATATTAGGAAAAAATGAAAGTTATTAACGCTCAAATATGATATTTGCAGATTAATTTATGATTGATTTTTCAGTTAAATTTCTTTGCTAAAAGGACAAAAAATTACGCTATCCGATTACGAATGCATAAATAGCGCGAAAAAAGCAAAAGTCATTTTAGGTTTCAAAAGTAGATTTTTAATTTTTTATTTCCAAGTGGAAACAGGTTAGTTTTATCATAAAAGTGTCGATCATAATCATTTCTTGAAATTCAAAGAGTTGTAAGTGATATGTTTTTGTTCAGATAACACTCTTAGGGATGGAGAGGAACTATGGCGCAGTGTCTGTTGTTTTTTCAGCTGGTTTTGACTGCCTCAAAGGAAGTTTGCAGGGGTCAAGTGTGTTATCATTTTGAAGCACTATAAAATTTGACTTTGTCTCAAAATTTAATTCTCTCACAATTTTAAGTTTATGATAACTTTTAGTTATTGGTCATTCCTAAATTTTTTCCTTTCAATCGCACTTTCCTGAACAACGTTAGCAGGAAAATTGGGAAAGCAAAATTCGAAAATTTCATAAAATTTTCCTTTGTTCTGAATTGTTTTCATTCATCAGTGTGGTCGGAAAATTTTGTTCTGCGAACAGTGCGACAGTCTATTCTGTTTTCTTTAACACTCGAAAGATGCAATTTTTTCAAAAAAAAATCTATTTTTTTGGTCTTCTTGAGTTCTATGGGCTTTGTTTGTAAAATGTTTATACATTCAAATGGTGGAAGTGCTGAAGTATCAAGGAACGCAGAGAAGACACTTTTATAGGTTGTGATGTTTTTTTCCAGGAAAAAGTGGAAGCTTAAATTTGATTTTTCGAGGTTTGACTTGGTTTCTTTCTAAGTTCTTTTCCGTTCTATCGAACATCGAAAGTGTAAATGTTACGAAACACGTGAACTACTTCTTTTCATACTCAACCGTTTTAATTTCTACACTAAACCTTTTGCTTAAACCTAGCGGTAAAAAGGAAAACATGATCTTGAAACGAGTTGGATAAAATATGAAAACCTCATAAAAATGGTTGACAATGATCATTTCTGATTGTTAATTTCAGATTTGTGTGCAATATAGTTTTTCCAATCAGCTCTTTGTTTCATCTTATTCTTATCTTGAACTAATTCGTAAATCATCTACAGTCATGTCTACAGTTGCATCTACTGGAGTACCAACTGGCGGTGCAACTGCTGCAGCAGCGGGCGTTCTGGACGAGGCCTCAGAGGAGAGAATAATTAATGAGGAGTACAAGATCTGGAAGAAAAACACTCCATTTTTGTATGACATGATCATGACTCATGCTCTGGAGTGGCCGTCGCTTACGTGTCAGTGGATGCCAGATGTCACAACGCATGAGGTGGGCATAGGGTAGCATGGGTTGTTTTTGTTCAATTAGATAAACGAGAGTGATTTTAAAACCACAAGATTCGGAGAATGAATTACCGGTGTATGATTGATTACCCTTGCGGTATAACAAGGGTATTGTAATCACGCATTAGACTCTTTTTACCGTAAATAACTTTATTTACAGAATGGTCAAAATTAGAAATGGTAAATTTAGGATGGTTCAATTCAAATTCAAATTTCTTAGAGTCTCAGGCACACTTGGTCTGGAGGTAACGAATGCATCTGGTACGGCAAAGGTCTTGGGTTGAATCTGACAGGACCTGTTTGTTTTTTTTTTCAAACGAGAAATAATCCGTTTCAAAAAACGTTGGATAATTATAGTCTGCTCATGTTTTGTCAGCTTAGTTGCCATATTGTAGAATTTTTTAAAGTTTTTTTTTTTACATACTTGCTCTTAGTGTTCTGATTTGCCTCTGCTATTTGTATTTTTGCAAACCTTGCTTTTTAATTTTTGGTTGATTTTTATCAGCTTATTGACCTAGTTTCGAGTCCTTTCAACGGAAACATATTTTTTATGCTCACCTCCGAATCACCCAAAACGCTAAAAATCTTAATAGAAATTATAGTTCAAGTTCTTCATGACAACAATTTTTTTCGGCTTGATAGGTTTCGGCCTATAATATTTTGGCTTATTGTCCAAATTTTGCGTCTTACGACGAGCGAAAAAAGTTCGTGTTTGCGTGTCTTTGTTTTGAGGGTGAGGGGGACTTAGTAACTTCTTATTAGTCTTAGTTTTGGTTTAATTTTTCGTTTTTCCCTTTGTTGGGCTGAATAGGTTCCGATCTATGTTATATCGGCTTAGTGGCAACATATTAATTTTTCATAAGGCTGAAGTCTTGTTGATGTTGTTTCGGCTTACAGGGTTTCTGACAAGGTGTTTTCGGTTTTGTTAATATGGGTACATTATCTTACGATGCCTATTTCACATTCTACTGTCTTGACATGATTTTGCGTCAAGGCTAGCCTTATTCATTTTTACGAATCTAATTTTTTGGACATTTTCGAATATTTTTTTTTCAAATTTTTTCTTGTGTTGTGTCGCAAGTTGTGCGAAGCTCAGCTTCGCCTCTGTGTTTTCATTTTTAATAATCCATATCTATCTATCTATACATTATCTATCTGTTTATAGATTATTTAATTGGGGTTTCACCTGACACATGTTTAAGAAGTCATGTTTAACAAATTGCCAAATTATTGCGACGTCTAGTATCTTTTATTGAATTCAACGTTTTAAATTTCCAGAGTCTTAAACGATTTAACCATGCATATGTTGAAGCGTGGATGCTTTAATTGTACAGTTTTCCTCTTTCGCAGTACAAATTTTTAAAGCTTTTGGTTTCCTTTCAGCGTTTTTTTCATAGTATTGAGATTCTCAAGCCTACGGTGGCGTGCTTTCATGGTGTGATCAGCGATAGCTAATCTGGCCTTCAAATATGACTGCTCGAGTACCTCGAGATTTACTTTTTTATGATTTTCTTTTTTTTAAAAAAAAAAACTATTTGACAATGTTGAGATTCTCAGCCCTCCTATGATGAGGTGCTGTCAGGTTGTACCCAGGGGTTGCCAATCTGGTCTCCATTTTTCTCCTCAAATCTTTTTAATTTCCGAGATACGGAGTTTTTTATGATTTAATCAACTTTTTTCTTAAAAATTTAAATTTAATAAAGACTTCCAAAATCGGTGAAGTGATTCTAGGGTAAAAACAGGGGTTGCCCAATTGATACGGCTCAAATCCTTCTGTTTTCTAAGATATGGTGTTTTTTGTTTTTTATTTTTTTGTCAAAAGAGACTAATAGATATTTAAAAAAAGGCCTCCAATTAATACTGCTCACATCTTTATTTCCGAGATATGGCGTTTTTGATAGTTTTTCAATTTTTAAAAAACTTAGATTTGAAAAAAGACTAACAAAACTTGAAATTCTCTAGCCTATAGATAGATAAGCAGTTTTAGGGATAAAGCTCTGATAAATCGGCCCATTTTAAGTTACAATTTGCATTAATTATTGCTTTTTTGTTTTATTTCGAAGTTTTTTTTCACGTTCAACAATCTATTTAAAGCACCGGGGGTGTGAGTCATGCGCTACTTAGTTAATGCAAGTAAATTCAAAAACTTATGGAACCCAATTTGAAAATGCATGAAATGATTTTTCCTGACGTTTTAAGATATTGAGCAAATGTTGTGAAAATGATTTAATAACGATACAGAAACTGTGCAAAACACGTCTGTGATAAATAATTGTTATCATCCAGGGAAAGAACTACTCGACACATCGGCTGATTTTGGGCACCCATACAAGTGATGAGCACAACCACCTGTTAATTGCCAGCATCCAGATTCCAGAAGACGAGGTCCAGTTTGACGCCAGTCACTACGATGCAGGTGGGTACTTTTGAACAGTTTGTTCAAAGATCTAGGAAATAAATTAAGTAGCTCGAATCAGTCATCTGATTTCCCGTATTAGCTTGTTTTTGAAAATACTTAAAGGCGCGATTGAAATGTCTGATAACTGATATACCCAGACATAAGGATTTTTAAAGATCTGCTTCTGGCATATGATCTTTTTGAAGTAATCAGGTCAATTTTTTCTAGATCGCGCTGAATTTGGTGGGTTTGGCTCAGTTTCTGGCCGCGTTGAAGTTGACATCAAGATCAACCACGAGGGCGAAGTAAACCGAGCTCGCTACATGCCCCAGAATCCCTCCATCATCGCCACCAAAACCCCAGGCTGTGACGTCCTCATTTTCGATTACACGAAACATCCGAGCAAACCGGACCCGAGTGGAGACGTTAAAGCTGATTTGAGATTGAAGGTGCCACTGAAGTTTTTGTATTATGAATCGGTTTTAGTTGACCTTTTTTATTAGTGTTTGCCTCTGACTTAAATATGTATGATTATGACCTCTAGTTATTCCTCCTAGGGACATACAAAGGAGGGTTATGGTCTGTCGTGGAATCCGACAACTGCTGGCAGGTTGTTGAGTGCCTCTGACGACCAGACTGTCTGCATGTGGGACATCAATGCCGCTCCAAAAGATAAGGTTAATCTTTAAATCTGTTGTTACGAGAGTTATGATTATCTGATGATGCCATGAAAGTTTGAGGGGTAGTAGTATTCAGTAATGGAAGCTAGTAGTAGTTAAAAGAAGTTAATATTATTAGTAGTAAGGGTTATGAGTAGTATTTTAGGAGCGATAGCAATGAGTAATAATATCTCTCGATATTTTTTTTTCTTATAGATAAATAATTATCTTCCCGTGGCTTACGTTTACTCGCAAATTGTGTAGACGAAGATACAATCTAATTCGTAATAAACGCCAATAGTTGAAGTAGTTTTATAGCTAAAGAGACTAATAGCTAATGTTGGTTAATTGCTTGTTCAAAGTGGGGTCTGAATTTGGTTCTACTGAAACAAGAGTTTTGTTTCAGAAGTCCACTCTGGAAGTGCACACTGTGTTCCAAGCCCACCAAGCAGTGGTTGAAGACGTCTGCTGGCATTTCAGCCACGACTCTATCTTCGGCTCAGTGGGTGATGACATGAAGGTGATGATATGGGACACGAGGAGTGCACCCTCGAAGCCCACTCACAACTTCCAGGGACACCAGGCTGAGATCAACTGTGTCGCATTCAACCCCTGCTGTGACTTCCTATTCGCAACTGGTGAGTTGAAAGAATCCATTTAAAACTACTAAAAATGGACAATAGTTAGGGTTAAGTAGGGGTTAATCAGTATCTTTTTGGTACTATTTTGCTGCTTCCATTTATGGTAGACTACCAGACAATCGTAAAGTTTCTTCAGGCGCCTTTGGCCCATTTTTTTTCCAAATGCCCCGACGTGAGAAAATCTTGTATTCGCCCCTGGCTGTAATGTTTGCAAAATATCTCGTAAGGTTTAAGGGTTTTAATTTGTGCAAGATCATTGTCGTGGTCTGCAAAAGCATAGATATTTTCACGTGCGAGTGCAAGTGGCTTGTAAGCGGGATCTAATCTTTTTTCCAACTTTTTTGCGGAAAAATTCAAGACATACGTGCAGTTGCGTTCACGTGTGTTTCAAATAAAAATAACATCTTAGTTCGTTTGAGATGGAAATTATTATTTTTTCAAGTTTGAAAAATGTAGATTTTTTTCGGATTTGAGGTTTGCTTTCTAGTTTTTGTCGGCTTGTTTCTTTTTTTTTTCAAATGCAATTTAGTTAATCAGGGTGAACTCAATTTTCTCTCCTTAGTTATCGTTCGGCTATTGCTTCTCAATACTTGTATAGCTGCCTATGAACATCATCCGAGACAAAGGCAAAAGTTTTATGTAGATGAAGATTTTTCTTTATTTTTTTCTCGTAATTTGTTCAATTTTTTTTTTCGTTTAATATCTTGTAATGGTTTTTAATTGTATCGCAAGTGTTGCGAAGCTCCACTACGCCTCTGTGTAAGTTGTGCAAGCTATTTTCTGAAATAGCTCAGGGTTATTAGTTTATCTTCTTAAGGTTCTGCGGACAAGACAGTAGCTTTGTGGGACATGCGGAACCTGAAGAGTAAGCTGCACTCCTTCCAGAGCCACAGGGACGAGATATTTCAGGTGCAGTGGTCACAGCACAACGAGACAGTGCTCGCATCGTCAGGCACCGACAGACGTAAGTAGAATGCGCAATTGTTAAGAATGACATGATTGGTCTTACTGCCACCAAATAATTGTCTAATTCTGAAAAACTGAAAACTTATTGTGGTCTCAATTTTTGTGATCGTTATCGAAACTGTATTGCATTATTACACAAGCAATGCTTGTTATAGTATGAACTATTTTTTTTCCAACCTAAGTCGTAAATATTGTTGCGACGCAAATATTGTTGCGATAAAATGTGTTCATTTTGATCAATAACCAGCTATTAAGTACAGGCAATGTTAAGCATTTTAACTCAGACTATTATTGTTCCGATTTTCATAACGAAGTTACCGGAATATTTGATCTCGTGTTGGTTTTTTTTTCAGACAAATTTCGACTTTCTAAGTAGCCATTTTTGACGGGATTTTTTAAAATCAATCAAAAAGTATTGTTGTCCTAGGCTTAATTTTGGAAAGATATCTCACCTGTGATTATTTTTCGTTAAATTATGGGGGTTTAAAAATCGCAAATTTGGGACAATTTACGCGCGATATATTTCGCGCTATTAACGCGTAAGCGGAGATCTAATCATGATAGAAATCGATCCAAATTGGTTGAAGGAAGCTTATTTGCCATAATTGATTTGTTGCTAGGAGCGAATTTAATCACTTAGTACTTGATATGGCGTGTGGGGGGATGATTTTCACAAAAAACCTCAAATTAAAAAAAAATTTACTTTATTTTCATTACATTTACTTTTATAATGTTATTACTGCTCCATAGACTGCTCTATAAATTGAGGCATGTTAGTTGATATATTTTTTTGCAATTTGACTACTGGTACTGCTAATGCTTCATAATTGGCGTGCGTCACTTAAAAAATTTTGAGGTTTCAAAGTTTTACTTATTCCGTTTTTCCCAGTAGCCTTAGCGGAGCGTAGTGCCTTATTACATTATCAACTGTTTTCCGATCTATGTTGGAAGTAAAGGTACACTTTATATAGTGGTACCGTCGCAATGCTTGGTTACTTTTTGCTCCATAGCATTTTATTTTTTTGCATCTGGTTTATTGGTGCTTTTCATTTTTTTTTCAATCTAACTAGCGAATAAAAGTGTTGATCCAAAGTGTTCTTTTATTTGGTGACACTTGCTATAATCTCAATATTTAGCATTGGAAATTTCATAGCATCTATTCTCTGCTTTATTTGTGGCTTGTATTTCTGATTTATTAAGCGCCCGTGGTTAGTGCGTGAGACTTATAATCTCTCACGCACTAACCACGGTATAGTTGCAGATCGAATCCGATACTTCACCGAATTTTTACTAATTCGAGGCTTATTTCGACTTTTTCTTATTGCTTTTATAGAGCTACTTTTTGTCGTGTTTTCTTTTGTGTTTGCAAAGCGCAGGTCTACTTGTGTGTTGAAATGTTGGAGAACTATTTTCCGGAAACTTTTTGACTTTTCTTCTAAACTATCCGGTCAAATATGTGATAAAAGGGTTAATCGGTAAACCAAGTAGTAGGAATTGTTTTACTGCATAAGCAGCTAAGCTAGGCCCTAATTTTTTGTGGAAAATTAGTTCTGGACTTAATCGAAAGATGGAAAAGGAAAATTCTCTGCATAGCGGGATACGCCTTGTTTTTTTTTTGTAGAAAAGTCATTATAAAACTAGGAAAAACCCATGTTTTGAAATATTGACCGTTTTAATTGAATTTTATTGACTTTTCTCGGAAACTACTTCGCGAAATCTCAGATAAAGGGTGAAAAATCAATGTAGAACTTGTGTTAATTTGGAATTTTTTTTCGATTTTATTGAAAGCTTCTAAGCCTGAGGGTTCAATCGAAAGAACAAGCTGTAAGAGTATCCCCTGCATAATTTTTTTTTCAATTTTGGCAAGGAATTTGCTATTGTTTTAATAATTTTTCGACATTTTGATCAGTTTTTGGACTTTTTTCCAAAACTAACGCGCCAAGTCTGAAAAAAAAAGAATTTAAATGAGATATAATGTTCCTTCCAAAAGCGTGTTCTTTTGATGATAGAAACCAGCTATGGACTTTTTGACATTTTGGCACCGTTTGAAATTTACACATTACCTTTCGCATCAGTACGGTTTTCAAAAATTTTATTAGACAGGTGCCTCCAGCTTTAGTTGAGCTCCTTGGTTTTATCTATCGTTTAGCGGTCATGGCGCAGAAGTTAGGTTGCGTGACTTTAAATCTCCAGGTCGGAGGATCGATTCCGGCGCATTAAAATTTTTTTTAGTTCTGCTTTTTCTTTCCTTTTTTGAGTATTTGACCCTTTTAGAGCCAGTTTTTGCCCTTTTCTTGCTTGTGTTTGCAAAGTGCAGCTTCGCCTCAGTGTTTATTGTTTTTCATCATTTTTGTCTAAATAGGAATAGCGGCTACACAATACGCTAGAAAACGCATGTAGGTTTTTTGTTGCGCGACAGTTTTTTGGTTTCAAAAGATAACTTCAATTCCGATTGTAGGTGTGAATGTGTGGGATCTGAGTCGTATCGGAGACGAGCAATCGGCTGAAGATGCAGAAGACGGACCACCGGAATTGATGTTCATCCACGCCGGACACACTGCCAAGATATCTGACTTTTGTTGGAGTAGCCAGGAACCGTGGACACTTTGCTCTGTTTCGGAAGATAACATTCTACATGTGTGGCAGATGGCAGAGAATATTTACTACGAAGAAGAAGATGAAACTACTGAAAATGTGAGACGAATTTATTACTTAAAGTGTTCTCCAATGAATTTTTATTACCCTAAGCAGGGGTTTGTAATCGGGTACTTTGAACAGTTAATAAGTTTGTTGACAGGATGACTTTAGTTGTGAACATCTCCATCTCTACTTTCATCAACGAACAGACAGATGGAGAGCAGACATTTTTTGAGCATTTCTTTATTTTAAATGCCTGTTCTATTCGAAATGTTTTTATGTTGGGTGTAAATTAATCAACTCCGATTTCAGTATCAGTTTTTTTTTTCGTTTTAGGAGTCGATGAGTCTTAAAATTGTTGACGCTCAATTTTTTTTTCGAGGTTTGACTTTTGATTCGATTTTTCCTAAGTTCAATTCATTTCCTTTGTTAAAAGTAAGGCAAACTCTACTATCGAACAGAGAAAGTGTAAAGGTCACGAAAAACGTGGTCGACTTCTAGTTTCGCAAGTGGAATTGCATTATCAGATTTCCCAGCGAAATAAAAATTATACCTTTTGATCCAGTTTTATCAAATTGGGTCATTTTTATCATAAATTGTTCTAGAAATTCCAAGTGCTTGAAGGCCGTGTATTTTTTTCTTGCAAATTTCAAAGTTCAGGTTTTTTCAAAAAAACAAGTCGTTATTTTTTCTGTTAACTTGCGTTCATTGACTCTTTTCCAACTGTCTGTTGGTTATGTTATTTTTTTTCTCTTTATTCGGCCTAAAATATCCGGCTTCCAATATAGTGGCTTAGAGGTGTCTTTTTTCAGTCATTTGAGGAGCCAAAAATTTTTAAGTGTTTTGAAGGGGACGTTTTGAGTTGTCTAATAAAAAAAAAAAAAATTTGGAGCAAGTAGTGACTGCTCATGAATTGTCGGCTATGTTACCGCTTTTTATGATTTTTTTCGATGCTTATTTCACTTTCAATTGTCTTACTTCTTGACTGATTTTTTTATTCAAGACACATGTTGGAAACTTTTTAGTAGATCAGTTTTCGCGATATTTTCTGCGGATGTCTTCTCTGTATTTATCGTTAGTTTGTAATGCTATGCATGGGTTTTATCGCTAGTAGTGAGATATTTTGCTTCACCTCTCTTTATTAAATTACTAAATGCGCAGGTAATATTCAATTCCAAGATTTCGGATTTTTTTTTGCAAATTTTGTATTATTTTTGAGATTTGACGTAACATATGCGAATAGTGAGAAGCATTCATTTTTTCTATCGCCATTGGTGCCACGCTCTGTTTCATCTCTGTGTGTATAGTTGGTGGAGCATACCAAGCTTAAACTCTCGAAATCAACTAAAAGTGTTTTAAACTATGTAAACATTTCTTCTGGCTCATTTAGGAAGAGGCTGTAGATACTGAGAACGCATCTGCGGAAGAAGCAATGGCAACTGAAGACGCTTCGAAGACACCCAAAAAGCCAAAAGAGTCCGAGGAGACTAAAATGGACTGCGAAGAAGTTGCTGCGAGCTGATAATCTACAGTGATAAATTTTCATTTTTTTTTTCAATTTGTTTTCATCGTAAACTTCTGATCTGAATTTTTTTAAATACTATTTGATAATGCAGTGCTAGTGAGTGATATTGTATAACATGCAAGTGAGTGAAATTTTGGCTTTGTTTTATTTTGTTGACAGTAATTGAATTTCGAGCGCATCAGTTTTAACACATAATGAAGTAACCGGTTACGTTTATGAAAAAGGTTTCTGGAAAAATAAAAATAAAACGAGGGCTCTACGAGGTTTTACTTTATTTTTGATAAGACAAGGGCTTTGAGTAAGTGTCAATAAACTCTTATTTAGGCAGTGTAGTTTTAGTTTTTTTAAGACATTGATTATGCATTTTTGAGTTTTACTGCGATTTCTTCTGAAGTTCAATTCAAATTCGTATGATAAAAGGAATGCAATTTGCTCTCCAATAACGAAAATTCAAATGAACAATGAAAGCTTATAATTTTGGCTTCGAAAGTGGATTATAATTATAAGTGTCAATGAACCAGTGAAGACATGTAAATAGGGCAACAAGTTTTTTTTTGAGTTCTTCCCCGAAAAAGTCTTAGAAATTGACCATAATCTAATTTGATTGCGATTTGAGTTTTGATTTTTTCAAGATCACTTCAAATTCGTAAAGGAAGGCAGCTTAAACTCTCCAATTATGAAAAGATAAATTGCGATAAAACATGAATGAATTGTTTCGGAAATTAGTTGCAATTTTTGACAATTCGCGACTTGGCTTCTGATTTCTCCTTGAGTTCATTTCCTGTACATCACAGCGAAAGAAGCAGGAGTATAAGAAGCCTCAAATTCCCAGGTCAGCCAAAGCTTTGGCCCAGTTTACTGCTTCAGCACTTCAAAGCTAAAAAGTATTTTCCACTTGTGAATATTACGGAACTTTCAGCGCAATAAAATTTCTCTGTGGATCCTGTTTTTGTTCCTAGTGAATTTGTTTTCATGAAAAGTTACTATAAATTGAACGAGTTTTTGGGTCTATTCGTGTTTTTGATGGTTGAACTTCAAACAACGTCAATAATTCGTATCTCCTTGAGTTTACTGACACTTTTCCTACTGTTTTGCTAAAATCATCCAATATACATTTAGTGGGTTTCCTCGAGCCCAATGATTTTTTTTTCCAATTTGCTATGTTTTAATTATGCCTACGTGCTGAATGAATTGTCATTTGCCGGGCGTTTTTAAATACTTGAACAAACGAAAACGCTGAAAATCCAAAATCAACTCGAGTCGGTGGATATAATATATCAAAATAGTTTTTGTCGTAGCTCGCCCAAAAATTGAAATTTTTGAATGAATTTTTCAGTAAGAGGCCAAACTATGCACTGGATAGGCGCACAATTTTGTGTCTGTATGTTCCTGGATTCCAGAGACAAGTCTTAAAGTATGTTAAAATTTCGTCGGAGCGATCGAAGAAAATGAAAGAACAAAAGAAGAACAAAGGGCGCGTCCTTCTTGCGAAATCCGGTTACATTTCCCAAAAAGCACAGTTTCGTGTCGTAATGTTGACCAGTTTCGAGAAGAACCAGTGTGAAATATGAGTCTTAGTTTAATTTCGAGCGAGTAAACCGAACGAGAAAGTCCTTCAAAAGAAAATTTTTTTATAAGGAAGGAAAAACTTGGATAACCCAAATCAATTAGTTTTAGAAGCTTTATTTAGAGCTGCAAGCTGCCCGCGCTGAATGTTCTGTTGTAGTAACTTTTTGCATTTTGTCTTAAGGTAATTGCAATTTGGAAGACAATTGACGTCGATTATGCTTGTTCACTAACTAGCCAGGTGAAGTTTTTTCATTAAACAACGAATAAAAAACACCACTACTTTGAAAAAATTAATTTTTAGAATGTGGTCGGAACATTTTGTGCTACATTTTCAGCAACCAGTTATCTTAGTTCTTTTTTGTATCATCTGATATGGATTCATCCAGGTTTTTGAGAACACTTAAAAAATTCAAAAGTCTTAGCTGCAGGCACTGTCGAATTTGTCAGATGCATTATTCATTTGCATCCTTGTAATCTCACTGCATAGCAATTTCAGACTAGAGTTTATAAGACTTTTATGATCTCCTCATGACTGGCAAAAAAAACCAAAGGAAATTTTGAAATGTCTATTCTCTAGTATATTTTTTCTGATTAAACAAGTTAAAGCTAACCCGGGTTGACCAAAATGTGCAACCATACATCGCACCATGCATGGTTCCAAGGAGACCATGAAAAATTGCAGACGTATTTCTATGTTAAACTATCACATTTTCCATGCATGGCGCGACGTTTGGCTACAATTTTTTTTTATTACGGGGAACTTCAATTTTTGATACTTTTACCGGGGCTGTTGAGAATTAATGTTACCATGGATCATTGCAATGTATGGTTACTATGGTATCATCCATGGCGCGACATATGGATAACATGGAAACATATGGCGCGACGTATGGCTACCAAAGAATCATATTTGGTGCGACATGTAGAAACTGAATAATCAAATAAATTCAATTTTCTCGTGGGTTTCCAAAAAATGTTCTGAACGACCTCAAAGACGTTGGTAGTAAAATTCTTTTTCCGCCGTTCAGTGCAAAAATATGGTTCCCAAGCAAAGCACATTTTTATCCGATGTATAAAAATATACCTGTAATAAAGAAAATTTTATCTGATGATGTCGGAAAACATACCTGGTACTAAAGATACTTTATCTCAGTCATTTTTGCTAATTAACTTCTATTTTCATGGTTATCCAGAGAAAAAAAATCTCTTCCATACGTAGCACCATTTAAGTTGCGACGCATGATTTGCATGGTAAAAACTTTTCATATCGTACCAACGGCTTGCATAATGATGAGAAATCGTTTTATTACTGATTAAATCCGTTTGAAAGCTATTTTGAGGGTTTTCGAAACAAACGTATGTGATACGCATGGTTAGTCCTTTTCTATACAAATCATGCATGGATGTGCGCATCATTTTCTATGGTAGTCAACCCGGGAATCCTAGATGCCTCAAATTAGAAAGTTTTCTATCTAATAGCGATGTACCAAAATGATATGCATTTTCTAAAAAGATTATATAAAAGTGATGAAGTATGAGAGATGTTTTGAAAATAATTTATTAAAATTATGATTATTATAAAAATGATTATTAGTTCGAAGACTGTTAGTGAGATTTTCAATAAAATTTAAAATTGACTGAAGTTTTTGTCAAAAACAGTTGTTCATATCTGTTTGTAGTTTTCTAGTTATTTGTTTGTAGCAAAAAAAAATAGTTCAGAAGGTAAAGCCAGTGAATCAATCAATTTAATAAGTAGTTGAGTATAATCAGTTCTCTAGTCATAGTTATCATGATTAATTGTCGAATGACTTTTTCCTGATTAACTTTTTCCTGAACTGATCCATCATTAATGATCATCAGAGGAGCCCTGGATATGACCAATGTGAACAAACAGAAGGATAAAGAAGGTCACTGGAAACATCATTCTGCATATGAGGTCTAGTTTTTCCAACCATCGAGATTTTCCTGATTTGTCTTCTCTTACTTTCTTATGTTTGGCTTGTCGCTGGTCGAACCACACGACTACAATGTACTCCAGAATGGCTAGTGCTATATAGAAGAAGCAGAGAAGATAGAACATGTGACACATTGTGACGTGATTGATGTTTTTGAGGCTCATCTGAAAATTCAGAAACGACAGAAGCAGGGCGAGAGTGGAGAGTAAGACGACCAAGCTTCGTCCAGTCACTTGATGTGGGTCGATCCAAAAACCAAGCCAAGAAATTGTCACTATGAGCAGAGCGGGAAAATAAAATTGTAGTGCATTGGCCAGAAACAGCCGGACAACGAGAAAACTAACCTGAAACACAAGATAGCATAGTTTGTGAAAAACAACTATTGCCACTTCGCTACAATTTTTTGACATCAGTGTTTCTTAGAGTGCTCGGAACATCAATTTGGTTAACATAAACAAAAATTTTGGCAAACTTTTCGAAACTTTTTCAAATCCCGTTTTTAAAAAGCCGCTCGATAAGTCCTAGTTTTGACCCATGGTCTTGATCTTGATTAAAGAGCTACCAGGAGTCGAAGGTCAAAGGGTTGGCGTTATTGCTCAAGAAATAACCAGATTATTACGCTGGCTCTTAATCCACTTGTTACAACGTGAAACCTACTAACTGAAATGATTTATATACAATTAGAAAAATGAACAAATTATTAGTTCTATGAACCATTACCAAAATATCTTGAAATATCTTGCCAAAGAACCAACAAGCGAATATTTATGTTAGTCAATTAGAAATTTTGAAGAAAGAAGCGTGACAATCATAGTCATTTTCTAACAATTCAGAGGAAAAGGATTGGCCGCAAAAGTTTGCTCTGGAAACTGCATGCATCAATATATACTCACATATAGAACACTAAATTCTCCGGTCGAAAACCTAAGAACGAAGCTATTCTGCGTCCAACTTGACAGAGCAAATTCATATCCGACATCGCCTGATGGGGACACAGAATTCTCATGAAGCCACTTCAGTTCCATATCATTAGTGGTTAGCCCATAGGACTCTAAGTTCATAGAGCAAACCTGAAATATTACACTTGATTCACCGAATTAATCAAAATCTGAATATTAAAACAAAATCGCCGTTTGCAAATGTCCGGCCGCTATTATTTTTGTAAAATATTATATTGGGAAAGAAACCAAATGACGGAAGGTTTGAAATTGACCCAAAAAGTAATTACTTTTACCCCAAGAAGTATTAAGATTAAACGAATGTTTTTCAGATAAAAAATCCTCTTAAGCACATTCGTAGGTAGTATTGGTCAGTACTAAAATTTTTAGATACTTTGTTGAGAAATTGTGGTCTCTATGAAATTTTCACATTTTAATTCACGTTTATATTACAACAAGTAGTTTTTGTTACAACAGTAGAATAAAATGCTCTGAATGGAGATAAAAAACTCAATTTTACTTCTTTTGCTCGAAATTGGTTTAAATTGTAAAATGTGTTCACTGATTTTTCTCGAAACTAAAAAAAATAGAATTTCTAAGATAGCCATTGAACAAAATTTAATAAGCACTCATATGATTTTTTTTCGGTTTCCACCTTTTTAACTCTAAACAACTTAATACTCAACAGTTTCACTCCCTACTTTTTGTTGCCTTAG